CGGCTTGGAAGCTGCGCATGCGCACAGCTGCGGCGGCCCCTCACACCTGACCCCATGCTGTGAAAATGTATTTTCCATCTTTATCTCCTTCTTCATGACGTCATTGAATCTTCTGTGGTTTATTCCACACATCACAGCAGATCTCACTGCCATCCCACAGACCAGGAGGCAACCTGTAGGGTTTAAGTCTGGAAAATATTAATGGAATATGCTTAATATTTCCGTCGGTTTGTGTGTAGTTACGTAATATTTCCGTTGGTTTGTGTGTAGTTGAGTTCAGACAAATACACAAATAAATACAACAGATGTTTAAGAGAAAAACAAAATATATATTTTCTCTGAGCAAAATTCTGAGTTCCATTCTTTGTCATCACCTCTGATGCAGTAACCATCTGTAGGCAGCAGGTGGCGGTAAAAGGATGGTGATTGTTGTCAGAGGGTTGTAGGTTTGAATCCCACCTGGTTGGCTAGTTCCTTGAATAACGAAATATATATAATTTAAGGGGGTTTCCTTGCCCAACTGTTGAGTGTCAGCTGATCTCGGGGGGGGGGGGGTTGTTTTTGACTGTTTGGTCTAATCTATTGCGACGCCCTGGTCTAAATGCGTCCCTGGTGTGATCCTGGTGTTGGGCCCACATGTGGTGGAGCTGCAGCCAGATGTTGAGGAGGAAACGTGGCGTGTCTGAAATAGCAGAGTCACAGCAGCAGAGATGTTGGCTCAGAGTCAGGCCCTGGTTCTGTCTGTGTCTGTCTGTGAGTGAGTGAGGGGGGGGGGGGGGCTGGATCAGTAAACATGTCTTCTCCCACGCAGTCAGTTCACACAAGGGGTTTGTTGATCTCGGGCTTGAAGCTGCAGCTGCAGCCTCACACAAGTCATTTTCTCAGATCTTTATGCAACACACACACACATTACACACACACACACACATTACACACACACACATTACACACTAATACACTGGCGAGTTACTTAGTGAAATGCAGACGCGGCCGACAGTGACAGGTTACTCGGTGCTGTTCGTCGACGTCTCTGGAGCTGCTTTTCTAACAGATGCTCCATCTGTTTCCTGCCTCCGTGATGCTGAACAAATGTGATGATCTTCACTCCATCAGATCTGGAATCACAACTTGCGTGGTCACGTGATCACCGTCACGGTCCGATATCCGCCTTGTTTATCGCTGTTATAAGCGCCACGGTTAATTTTATCGTAACGTTTGCTGAATACCGTCAGAAAGTAAATACATTGATCCTGACGATAATCGCATCAAGGAAGTCAATAATCGTTATTTGTCTGATCCTATCAAAATTTTGGTTTCTGTACCTTTTCCTTGCAGTACTAGTAAATGTCCAGAAGATGGCGGTGCAGACCATGAAAAAAACAGCACTAAAACTGTTGGCCGTGGTCAAGTCAGGTGTGACAGATTAAATCCAACTGTAAACTCAATTATTGCTTTTATATATATATATATATATATTTAAATATATATTTTTATCTGTGTTTTATGTGAAAAATGGTGAAATTATCTGCGGGTTTCGTGTGAGGGCGCTATAACCTCTGTAATGTGCAGCATCAGCAGCTGCATGTCGTTACACTGTCCACTGTTAAAGCCAAGTGATTGGTTTGATGTGAAGCTGATTTGAATTTAAAGGAGAAATTCAGTTTGTGTGCTGCTGCGCCTTCCTCCCCCTCCACCTCTCCTCCCCCCTCATCTTCCTCCCCCTCCTCCCCCCGTCTTCCTCCCCCTCCTCCCTTCTTCTTCTCTCTCTCCCATCGCACGAGCCTGTGGCCCACAGCTCTTCTTTTACGGTTCTGTATTTCACCGACAGACAATTAATGTCTGCTGAACACACGGCTGCTGCCCGTCAGCAGGATGCGTCTCCATAAAAGGCAGCTTCCTGTGACAAATGATCAGCAGCGCCACCGCTGGGTCGAAGAGCAGAGTCAGACAAAAAAAAATCAGATGGATCTGCTTAGAACGAATGTGAGAAAATCCAGAGGAGACATTTGAACTTCATTTAATCAGATTGATGTTGAAAGGATGTAGAGTCAGGTGGTCGGTGTGACGTAGGCTACGTCACGGTCGTGGACGGTATTTATTTATCTTGATTCGTTCATTGTTTGTTTGTTTTTCCCCAAGTCACGCGACCGGACTTTTAGAACATTCTCTGAACTCGAGAGGGAAAAGAAAAATATTGAAGTTTTTTTTGGTGACGTGCGGTTCAAAAATGGACCACTAGATGGCGGAAAAGAACCAAAAAAGAGGAGGCAGCTCGACCTGGTCTGCAGCTTCTGTTGGATGTAGTTAAACATGTTTTTGAAGTAGTACCACAGAAATACAACAACTGTCGACAACTACTACTACGTTTGTTACTACAAGTACTACTACAAGTACTACTACAAGTACTACCACAAGTACCCCCTAATCCTTCATAATCATTCTTTACTGATCCTGTGGTGAATTAAATAAAGATCAACTTCCGCTGTAGGGATCAGGCTGTAACACGTGTCTCTCAGCATCTTCACCTGCTGCGGATTCGAACCAACAACCTGATGAATCGTGTCTGCTCCAGTAAACCCATTAAACTAAACGGTGTTATTATTGTTACCTTATCATTTATTAACCCGTCACAGCTGTGAGGGGGCGAGGAGGGGGGTGTAAACGTCACAGCAGTCTGTTGAGTGCGTCGTGACATCACTTCCTTCTGACGTCAGATTGAATTCACATGTTAATAAATGTGTTCAGCTAAGATGGGAAATGATGACAGAACAGAACTCGGCGCCACGTTCGCTGATTTCCCATGTTTTGGGTCCAAACTGGAGCGATGACAGGCTGTGACGTCACAGCTCTCTGACTCAGACGTCGTTGAGCAACAGACATTTCTTCACATTCACTTTTATCCCCTTTGATTCACTGTGATTCCTGCTAAACTGAAGGGTTTGGGGTTTTGTTTTTTAGCCAAAGACGCCGTGAGAATCACAGTGATGGGAATTCATTAAGATTCCACAACAATGACACAGACGGAAGAGGAGGATGATGGGAAAAATGATCGGAATAAATTCTCACACAGTCACTGAACTCTGATGTCGTTATCTTTGTTATTGTCAACGTCAGTCAACAACATAATTACTATTTCACAGCTAACGTTGCTGATGAAGTTGTTGCTGCCCCCTTGTGGCTCGGCTGTTGGATTATGGAGCCGTGTTTCTGCTGCTGCTCTCTCTGAGTCTGAGTCTGCTGCAGATTTGTTTTTGTTTTTGTCTCCTCACTGTGGCCAAACTCTGTGCTTCTTGTTTTTGTCTCCTCTCTGTGGCCAAACTCTGTCTACTCTGATCTAGTATTATTTAGTACTTCATGTACTGTACTGTACTGTTTTGTCCAAGCTCCTGGACAGCTGTTAGAAGCCCACTAAAATAATTTTCACAGGGCCCCAAATCCCTAGTGGCGCCCCCTGTGTGTTGCAGCATGTACTGTACAACATGTAAATAACATCTGTGTTTATTTACATTTTCATTAAATACGAGTGAAGTTAAAAATGTAGAGTTTGTTTAGGAATTGTTTTTAGCCAAAAAATAAACAAATTTGAAATTTCTTGGCTCAGGGTTCGATTCCACCCTAAAACCCTGATAGGGTCGTGAAAGGATTTAAAAAAAAAAAAAAACTTCGATCACTATGTTGAATACTGCTGTATTCATCCAGATATTTGATCATGAAGTACTCTGAGTGACTGTGTACTCAGAGTACCTGTGTACTCCTCAGACTCACAGCCTGATGTGATTATAACACATCATTATCACCCCGCGGTGTCCTCGCCGTGTCCCGCCGTTCTAAGCTCCGCTCAGACACACTCGGCTGTTATTAACCTTTTGTCCTACATTATTACCTGGCCCACGTGTGCAGCTGCCCCTGGGCTGCTGTGGAGAACACCTGCCCCAGCTGGGCTGCAGGGGTATTAAGGAGCAGGAGCGTGATCACACACCCCGTCCTGTGGTGCAGTGTTTACGTCTGGTCTGGGACGGTGGGGGGGGGGTGTCAGAGGGTGAGGAAGTTTAGCATCTGCACCAGAACTAATCGGTTCTAGAACAGGTTCTCCTGTCGTTGAGACTCAGTACTGAACAGTAGAGAAGTCACTGAAACAAACCCTCCAGTTGAACTGGTCCAGGAGGGATGATCACTGTGGGCCCCGGGGGGCTGCGACCCGCATGTTGACTTGCAAAAAGAAACTCTGGGCTGCCAGCAGTTTATTGTTGTTGAGAAGGATTTTTTTCTTTACGTTTCAGTCTGTGTCTCAGTCTGTGTCTCAGTCTGTGGTCCAGTCTGTGTCTCAGTCTGTGTTTCAGTCTGTGTTTCAGTCTGTGCTCCAGTCTGTGGTCCAGTCTGTGCTCCAGTCTGTGTTTCAGTCTGTGGTCCAGTCTGTGTCTCAGTCTGTGTCCGTCGACTGCAGGTCCACAAAGACAAGACAACTCTGACTTTTTCCTTTATTCCGACTTTATTTCCACATGAATTCATCACTCGGTTCCTTCATTCCTGATGAGAAACACGCTCTGACATCGGTTCTATTCCAGAACCGACTCTGAGCTCCTTCATTTGGTGCTTTTGACAACGTTAACATCTATAGATCGTATATTTACATCATGTGTCTCTACCCTGTGTCAGTGAACGTGTCAGTGATTGTCAAGATTGATGGACAACCAGGAGGACCGTGACGTGGACACGGTCTCCGTCTCTCAGTGAGTCTCCAGACCTTTGACCTTCTCTAATGAGTTCAGATCAGTTCGTTAGTGGATTAGTTTGATTTAAAGGATTTCAGTCCTAGGACCAATCAGAGACGCGGGTCGTGAAAATTAAGTCCCAAATATGACCCCAGGTTTACTTCATTTCACTCATGTTAAAAGTTTAGGAAATAAAATTAATGTTAAAAATATTTACTTAAAAAAAAACACAGTGTGCAAAACAGTAGGAGGCGCTAGCACCAGAGTTGAAGTTTCAGTCCAATCTTCGTCGACGAAGTGAGTTTAGTTTAGTTTATCCAGAGGATGGACCACGTCTGTGACCTGGGCGTGGTCCCCGCCCCCTGGGTTGGATCACTTCCAGCGTCACACCATCTCTTCTCGGCGCTCCACGCCGGCTGACTCCACGTTGACCTTGCTGCTGTGGGTCACCCGGGTCAGTCCCAGCCCCTCCCCTCGGGTTTTGAGGAAGTGTTCCGCCCCCCAGTGGAGACAGAGGGGACAGGGACATGACGGTGGGTGATGCAGAATGGTGGAGGGGGGGTAGAGCGGAGCTGTGGTGGGGGGCAGCCCCCGCGGCCGGGTGTGGAACTGGGAAAGGCGTAGGGCGTCCAGTGACCTGAGGGGGGCGCCGTAGGGACTGTGGACCGGGGAGGCCGGTGGGGTCAGGGCCAGCGGGGAGTAGTGATGAAGAGGAAGGTGAGGCAGGTGAGGCGGGATGTAGGGGTAAGGCAGAGCTGGGGAGGGAGAAGCTCGACCCATGAGGAGCGCCCCCAGGGGGTCGACCAGAGGGTGAGGCCAAGGGAGGGAGTGTCTCTGACGTTTGTCCTTCATCCTACGGTTCTGGAACCAGACCTGGAGACGGGGGGGGGGGGGGGACGGGGGGGCAAAGGTGGGGGGGAGAAGAAACAGAATTCGTTCTTCACTTCATCCTCGTTCACAGAAACCAGATGTGGAGCAAACTCTGGGAAACAGAACCCAACATGAATGAGAAGAGTTCGATTTTGACACAGTTTTGGACGCTGCCCCTGCTGGCTGACATTGACACTACAACCACTGAACAATGGAGATGAAGCTGCAGGAGATGATGAAGACAAGCTGCTGGAACAGCAGAGGAGACCACAGATGAAGTGAATATTCTGTGTTAAAATATTTGTACACACGGAGTATTTCATTACTCCATAACAAAAGTACCGTGTATTTATAAATCTTATTGTAGTTTTTTTTTTTTTTTTTTTTGCTTTCTTTCGTGGCAGCTCTCGTCTCTTCACCATCTCAAAAAATGTAAAGCTGTGTGTGACAGGTGTGTGTGTGTGTGTGTGTGTGTGTGTGTGTGTGTGTGTGTGTGTGTGCTCTTCCTCAGTTTTAACAGCTCACACAATTCGCCGGAAGGCAGCACTTCTTAAACGTCAGGTGGCGGCGTTTAC